GTGTGCATGCTGGTCCCACCAGTCCCCTCCTGGAGGTGGTCAGCAACCAGGGGTCCATGTGGAGGCTTGCCAGGGTCCCCACTAAGAAGGCCTCACATGGTAAGTGAAATCTTAGATCCCCTTCTGAAGTTGGGGGCCCAGGAAGGAGCATGGGGTCGGGGTACGGCTAGAGCCTGGAAGAAGGTGTAGGAGCCATGGTGGGGAGGGTGTCCCACACAGGCGCTCACTCCCCCGCAGTTGCTGCCCACCTGGGTCCAGGGCTCAGTCCTCCACAGACCAGGTAGGGTGGCTCCACCCCTGATGGGCAGGCGGGCAGCATCCCAGCTGTCTGGGGACCAGAGGCCCAGCCGAGAGGGAGCGGTGGGGAACACAGCCACTACCCTGGGCAGCCTCCTGGGGCCCCAGTGTGGGTCTCGGGGGCCACACTTGCAGGGGTCACCCAGGGGACAGGCTCTGTCCTCGGCAGTGTCTCTTCAAGCTGGCATCCACGGCCCCAACCTTCTCGCTCTGGGATCATCCACCCCGCAGGGCCCCTGAGGGCCCCGGCACCAGCCTCAGTGGGCACACAGCCTTGGCAGCTCATGGGAAGTGCCCATTCCTTTCCAATGCCACCTCCCCCTGCGGCCTTCCTGGAGACCTTCCCCACTGTCCATCCTCCAGTCGCCCTCGGCAGCCGTGTCCTGCTGGGCTGTGAGCTTGGGCACCAACTCCCCACCCCCCTCCCGGCCCTCCTCCCGGCAGGCCCCTAGCTCAGGTGCACGGGAACCCCAAAGAAGGGTTGCTGGGGAGCACCTGCCTGCAGCATGCCATGCATCCGCCAGGTGGCAGCACGACACCGCTGAAGCCAGAGCCCCTGGGGGAGGACACTGGGGACACGTACTGGCCCCTCTCTGTGTCTCCCTGAGTGATGGGGCACAAAGGCCCCAGGGAAGCGGGGTGGCCACCCCGGTCATTCTGTGGAGACCACAGGACAGGTGGGACGGGGGTCCTGGTGGGGGGCAGGGGAGGGGGCTCACCCTGGCACGTGCGCTCGTCGGTCAGCAGCTTGTAGCCCTTGCGGCAGCTGCACTCGAAGCTGCCCACGGTGTTGCGGCAGAAGTGGTCGCAGCCCCCGTTGTTCACAAGGCACTCGGTGATGTCTGTGGGGGCCGGTGGGGGAGAGAGGGAGAGGGCACCGGGAGCCCGAGGTGAGGCAGTGCCACCCCCAGCCCTCTCGGCTCACACATAGAGGGGCAGGGCCATGACGGAGACAACGACACTGTGCTCCCTTCTTTCCACAGCCCGAGAGGTGGTGGGGCCACAGGCAATCTGTGCCCCGTGCTGGGCCCTGGGGATGGGGGTGGGGTGGGGAGAGGGAGGTCTCACAGCCCCGTCTCAGAGAGGAGGCTGGGGCAGGAGCTGGGGGGGCTGGGCTTACCCCTGGCCCGTCTTGGCACAGTTCCCCTCCCTTCCCTCGCCCCAGCCCTGCCTGCGTGAAATGTCGCCTCCAAGGATCCCTGGTGGCTGAAGTACCACCAGGGCTAAAGTGCTCAGCCGTGATGTCAAGGCTGGTGGTTCGAACCCGCCCTCCGCATGCTCCTCCACAGACCCTGGCGGTGGGCCTCTGTGAAGACCCACGGCCTTGGAAACCCGAGGGGCCAGCTTTGCCGCTGTGAGGTCACCATCGTGCTTGGTGAGGCAGAGGGGCAGCAAAAAAACGGAAGGCCCGCAAGGAGAGAGCTCGGCAAGTGGCGGCAACACTGGGCTCAGGCACAGGAAGGGCGGGGGTGGCGTGGGAGCGTGCAGCGCTGTGCTCTGCTGTCCCTGGGGTCGCTATGGGTCGGAGCTGACCCCGCAATCAGCACAAGGTCACCTTGGAGCCCTGGCGCCCTAGTGGTCACAAGGTGGCTGGGAAGCCAAAGGCCGGCAGTTTGAGATCACCGGCGGCTCTGAGAGGGGAGGCAGGTCTCTCAGTCTCAGAAGCGGACGGGGCGGTTCGAGCCTGTCCTAGAGGGTGGCTGGGACCTGACGGCAGTGGGAATGAACGAGAAAGTCAGGTCCCAGGAGTCAGAGCTGACTCAGTGGCCACCGGTTTGGCCTGAGCAGCTCGGCCTGCTGCAGCCAGTGCTGCGGTACTTCGTCCGGCAGGCCCCTCTCCCGTGGCCTTGTCCCCCGGGGACCCCTCAGCCCTAACTTCCAGGCCCCGCTGCAGACATGACCAACAAAGAGGGAACTTTCCGGATGGAGAGCTCCCACCTCCAACTCTGAGAGGCCCCGCAGTGACACGGGGGCCCCCTTGACTGCGAGCCTCTGGGGAGGGGAGCAGGTGGCCACACTGGGCCTCTGTGCAGCGACCGGTGGGTTTGAAGCCCTGAACTTGTGCTTAGCAGCCCAGAGGCCTAGCCCACTGCCTACCAGTGGGCAGGGCTCCTGGCTGGAGAAGCAAAGGCAGGACCCGAGGGTCAGTCGGCCGCCCTCTCTGGCCCCGCAGCAGGGACACGAGAAGGACTTCCCCTTTGGTCAAGCACTGCAGGGTGCACAAGTGCCATCAGAGTCCCACCCTGGCTCAGTGACGAGAGGACCGTGTTCCCCAATTTACAGACAGGGGAGTCTTCCCTGCACCTCTCTCGTGGCTGCTTCGGCAGACCAGGAATGCTCTCACAGTAAACCTCGGCACCAGCAAGCACTGAGCAGATGCCAGGTTTGTGGTCCAGAGCCTTGGGGAGGGTGGGCTGATAGAGAGTTGGCTGAGACGCCTGAGGCCGGGTGCATTTCGGGGAGTACACCCCACCACAGGGTGCACCCGGCACCCCCACCCTTGGCCAGCCTCTCTGGGAACCTCTGTCCTGCTGGGTCTTCCTAGAGCCCTCTCAGACCTCCGGACCAGGAGGTAGGAGCCTGAGGGGCTGCACCGAGAGGGAGGGGCTACTCGGGCCCCACAAACCCTGGTCCACCTGATCCCACTCTCTTCAGCTGGGGCTTCTGCTCCCCGGACTCTGTGATATTAGGTTAAATGACTCTCCCAAACTCAGGGCTCTCGAGTCCAGGCTGACTCCTAGCGAGCCTACAGGACAGGGCAGGACTGCTCCCGGGAGTTTCCCACACTGTAACTCTATGGGAGCAGAAAATCCAATCTTTGCCCTGCTCGGTTAGATGAGGAATTCATTTGCTTTTTTAGTTTCCAATACTCCTGCCTTGCAGTCTCAGTAAATCTGCACATCGGGGAGGGGAGGGGGGCAGCTGAGCCCAGTCCCCTTGGCAGGCAAGGCACCTGCCGCATCGCTGCATGGAGTCAGGCCACGTGGAGGAACCTATCCTGAGACAGACCTGGGGTGGGTTCACCTCCACCTGCCCTCGGGGGCCACTGTCTGCACTTTCCACAAGGTTGTCTTCTCGAGGTCCCCAGCCAGGGCCCAAGCTGCTGCATTTGTCCCCAGTGAGGGGCGACCCCAGCACCTCTGGGTCCTAGGCTCCTTGGGTGGGTCACGTGAAGGTTAACCCACCTGGGGGCGGGGCAGGATTCTGGAGTCTTGGGGAGGATGGGGCTCCCGGCATAGCCCCCCTGGGCTCCCCCTGGCAGGCCCCACCAGCAGCCTTGGGAGGGGACTGCGCCAGGTCTAGCCTCATGTCCCCACCTGCTAATGCTGGAAGAGGTGGTGAGCTGGCGCTCCCAGGTGACTGGAGCAGTGGGGCCTCCTCAGGAACCCCCTGCCCCAGCCCTCTCCTGCAGCACGGGCTGTCCGCTGTCACCATAGTGACCAGACAGGGGAGGGAGGCATGTTTGTGGAGGCCTGGCCTGGGTAGCTGCTGCCTGGGGTCAGTGGGAGGGAGCCCCGATTATTGGAGGGCTGGGCTCCCCCCACACCAGCCAGTCGGCCCCCTCTGGGGCCCCGGGCTTCCCCTGCCCAGTGCCACACTCTACTTCCAGGGTGACTGGCTCCTGAGAGGCTGCAGGAGCTGCAGGACCAGACTGTGCAGTGCCCCCCTACCCCATGCAGGGACAGAGGGGCTTGTCTCAGGACCAGGCCCTGCCTCTCCTCTCGCCAGGGCCCCCAGTACTCCTCTGTCCTCACCCCATTCCTGCTCCCCCTGCTCATGGACCAGTCCCTGTGGCCCTCTGCAGCCTGCCCGCCTGCCTGCTTCTCTCCGCCCGGTTTGTCTGTGCCATGGGGATCAAACGCCCTCACCTGCCCACCCGCCCCTCTCGAAGCCACCCCGGGAATTATCTCTGGAGTTAGCCTCGTGGGGGGTGGCAAGGGGTCCTGGAGAGCAGAGGCAGGGCTCAGCAAGTCACTGCCCGGGAGGGTGGATGGACTGACAGACTGACTGATTGGCTGAGCGAAGCCAGACCAGGGGGACAATGGGTCCTGCAGGAGAACATTCCGATGTTGATGAGAATGTGTGTGTGAGTGGGGGGCGGGGGTGGGTGGGTAGTGAGGGGAGAACTAGAGAGTCACCCAGCCCCACTCCCCTGCCCCACTAAGGCATCCCAGGGGCCATGGCGTAGGGCTCTGGGAGGGAGGAGAGGGAGGCATGGGGACCACCTGGCTGGGAGGGGAGGCAACCAGATGGAAGACACCTTCCTGACCAGGGTGCTGGGGTGGGGCAGTGGGGGAGGCTCCCCTAGACTCTTCTTGAAGGGTTAGAAGAGTGGTTCTCAACCTTCCTCATGCCGCGACCCTTTCATACAGTTCCTCATGTGGTGATGACCCCCCAACCAGAACATTATTTTTGTTGCTACTTCACTACTTCATCCCTGTCATTTTGCTACTGTTAGGAATTGGGTGACCCCTGTGAAAGGGTCATTCGACGCCCAAAGGGGTCGAGACCCACAGGTTGAGAACCGCTGGTCGAGGTTGTTCTCTGTCCTTTCCGGCGAGTATCTGCCTCGGCTGCTGTCTCTGGGTCTGTCTCGGTGTGTCACTACTTAGCTCAGACTCGCTCTCCGTTCTAATCGTCTATCTCTCCTTCCTCCCGCTTTCCTTCTCTCCTGCCCCGGCCCTCTGTAACCGCCAGTTGACTTCTTTGGGTGTGAAAACCACGTGGCGTGGCTGTCTTCTTTTGCACCCGTGGTCTGTCTCAGACGGGATTTTCCTTCACGGATGGATTCACTCGCTCAGCAGGACAGCTCCCAGATCCAGCAGCATCTCGAGGAGTTTGGCTGCATCACCATCCTCCTTTAGGGATGCGTAGTATTCCATCGGGCAGTTGGAACAGACTGCCTCTATCCATCCTCCCCCCATGGGCATCGAGCTGTGAATGCACGGCGGTGAACGAGGGTGGCATCTGCCAGTAGGAGCCTGAAATCCCAGGACCTTAAGTGTCACGATCTCTGAAAACACCCGGGCTCCCTTTGCCCACCTGCACTGGCACCCTGTGACTGCAGCTGCTTGGTCATCCAGAGCCAGGGGGATGGGCACCCAGCCTCGCCATGGGACTGCCGAGCAGTATCAAATGCAAGCCTAAGCGTGCCCATCCCCACGAGGCTCTCAGACACCGGCCCAAGTCCTTGCCATGGCCACCGGGCCGGTCTTCTATCGGCGATCAGGGTGTCCGGCTGCCTCTGCAGCCACCCTGCTGGGCACACCATCCCCACCCCTCTCCACAGGGGCCCCGGCCCTCAGCTCGGAAGGCCTGCCCTGAAGCTTGCCTCAGGACCTGCTCCTCTGGGGCCTGCCCACTGGGTCAATACTACCAGGCGTGAGCACCCCAGGGTGTGCCAGCTCCCAACAGGGCTTGCCTAGGTTTGGTCAAAGGGCTAAGTAGGACTCACCCAGGTTCAAGAGGTGATTGTTTCTGGTGGAGCTGCAGGGGCCAGTGAGCACCCCTGGGACGGGATGAGGCTGGGCCATGGTCAGCACCAGCCCCCAGCTCCATCTGGTTAGGGTCGGGACCAGTGTGCTCCGGGCCTTCACCTCCCCCTTCCCGGGTGGGTGCTGTGCCTGGTCTGTGCACCCTGGCGGGATAGCGGCCTGAGTGGACACATGATGACGGAGGCTCCATGGGGAATGGCCAGGCTCTGGCACGTCTCCTGGGCAGGATAGCCCTCTGGGGCTTCCCCTCAGCCTGGCGTGCCCAGCTCAGGTCACATGTCACCGGCCACCACAACCACAGCTGGAAGGGACCTCGGCTACTCACAGGCCAGGGCGCCACCGCCACTGAGCTGGTTCTGACTCATAGAGACCCTCTCTAGGGCTCCCAGGGGGTCCACCTTTGCAGGAGCAGGCAGCCTTCTTTCTCTCCCGGGGTGGTTAGCGGGATCCTCACACCAACAGGCAGAAGGACAATGATTTCTTTCCACCGTCCCGGGCTGTCCCAGCGAGAGCTGATATGGAGGTAGGCAGTCTGTCAGGTGCTGATCTGTGCGGCGGGAGAGCACCCAGCTCACGCTGGCTCAGGCCTCTCCCACCAGTAGGCCAGTGGCCGGAGGACACCGGGGAGGCTCACAGGGACTCGAAGGCCATCTTGGGCGGGGGACTGTGCCTCATCCAACCCCTCTGTCCCCTACTTGCAGGGGCTTTGGTACCCAGGCCTCCTAACGCTGCCCTCCAATGACGTGGCTTATTGTTGCCCGGCAGGGCTGTCCAGCCAGCCCTGACTCACAGCGATCCCGTGGTCATGCACAATGGAAGGAAACACCGCCCGGCCCTGTGCCATCCCTGCCCTCATCGCCACGTGGAGCCCGCTGTGGTAGCCAGGGTACAGTCCACCTCGTCAGGGTCTTCGGCTTCCTCTCTTTTTCTTTTCGATGCTCGTCCACTCCCCCAGCCATGCCGTCCTTGCCCGTGGCCTGGTCTCTCCGGAGAGCACGTCCCAAAGGCACTTGGTTTCTGAGGAGCAGCCTGGCTGTGCTTCTTCCGAGACAGATGTGTGTGTGTGTGTGATCTCCTGGCGGCCCACGCAGGGCCCGCATTCCTCACCAACACCCCACTTCAAGGCAGCAGGTCTTTGTCCAGCTTCCACACGCAGCCGAGGCCGCTGAAGACACCATGGCTTGGGCCAGGTGTGAGAAGGCCGGGCGGCCCAAGTGGTTATGAGCTGGGCTGGGATCCGTCAGGTCAGCTACTCAGAGGGAGACAGATGGGGTTTTCCACTCCCGTGAACAGCGGCAGTCTTGGAACCTCACAGGGGCCAGTTCTACCCTGCCCTACATGGGGGAGAGGCGTTGGCATCGCCTTGATGGCAGCGGGTTTGCTTTCTGGGGGCGTGGGGGGTCAAGCAGGCATACCTTAGCCCTCAAAGTGGCATTTGGAAAAGTGGGACGTTGACTGTGCTCATACAGGACCTGGTCACAGAAGGAGGGGCAGCCGGCCATTCAAACAGAGCAAGGGTGGGGGAGGGGGCGCCTGGTTTAAGGTGGGAGAGGGGCTGGGGGTGCGGATGGCCTCCTCTTATCACGCTCCCACCTTTTGTGTGCCGAGCAAACAAAAGAGAAGCCGGACTACGTGCAGAAGAAGGTGCGGAGCATGGGGATCAGAGGCAGGCTTATGAACAGCCTGCGATAGGCAGGGGAAACACCTTGCGTGCTAGGAGGGAGGAGGCCTGGGGGCGCGTGCTGATGAAGCTCCAGGCTGGCAGCCGTCAGCGTGGACCCCGCCTCAGTGGGAGGGAGACCCACATCCTCCCTCTGGGGCCAACGAGCACCAACATGCTCAACAGAGACAAGGCTGAAGATCTCAGGGGTGTCATTGTGCTTGGGCCCGTAAGCAGTGGCCGTGGGGACACACTGCCTGAGCAAGTGCTTTAGAAAACCTCACCAGACAGCCTGTGAGGCCATGCTGACCCTGCACAGCCACCCTCTAGGACAGGGCAGTGCTGCCCCTGCCGCTTGAGGAGACGGCCACTCTGCGCGGGCATGGAAAGCACAGTGACTGGTGGTTTTGAACTTTAGACTTCGGGGTTAGCAGCCCAACGCCTCTCCCAAGGGTCAACAAGTAGAGGGGTCACTTTGCGGGACAGTGCCTGACTGGAGCCATGGCTTTACAGTGGGTTCCGGATCGTGGCCACCCTGGGGGCCGAGGAGCCTGGCCCGTGGGGTTCTAAGCTGCCATGGCTCCGGGAACAGGGTGAGAGTGCAACGGTGGGTGCGGAGTCTGGTGCTTCACCACGGTGCCTCAGGGCTCCCAGCACCCCAAGGCCTTTGTCCAGATGGATTATTTGCCTATGGTTGGTCTACCCTGCACTGTGGGGCTGCCCGCTCCCTCCCTCCCCTCCCCCAACTGTCTCTTCCCCTGTCCCCTTGCCTCTCAGTGACAAGCGTCCACAACTTGGTGCCCTTGTGCCGAGTCCTTCTTTTCCCAAAAGGACAAGATGACCGTCACTTCCCAGGAGACCCGACTCCCTGACACTTTGCTCGGTGGGACACCCCAGGGTCTCTGATTCTGGGGAGGACACGTACTGTGCCCGCCCCCTGGGGATGTACTGGGCAGCGGCCCTCCGAGACCCTTCCAGTCCTGTGGGAGAGACGCCGTATAACGGGTTCACCCTGCGGGCAGCCAACTCTCTGAGCCTCCTCTCCTGCCCAAACCCCAGTCCCGGGTGTCACAGAGGGGAACTGCTCCGCGGCGTGGGTGGGAGGGCAGCTGGCTGCTAACAGAGCCAGCAGGGGCCCGAGCCCGACAGCCATCTGAGAGAGGGCAAGGGTGGCCCGTGGTGTCAGGAGCCCTAGGGAGCAGCAGTCCAGCTCTGTCCTCGAAGGCTGCGGTGGACCAGAACCGACTTGGCGGCAGTGGGTTTGGTTTGGACTTTGAATCTTTTAAGAAGCAACCTGCGTCAGGCTATCCACCTGCGGGCAGCTGGTGGGATGGGACCGCCGCAGTCTCAGTGTCAGTAGCCCAGTGCAGAGACCTGTGCCCCCAGTGCCATAGCCACGGGGCTGCTTCTGGGTGCCGCGGCCGTATATGGGGGTTCTGGGGCGGCCAATCTTCCTGGCAGCAGCCAGCCTGTTTCCCTCCTGTGGAGCGGCTGGTGAGTTTGCACTGCGCCCAGGGGCCCGACACTTCCCCCACGACCTCCCCCAAGGGGCCCCGTGACCCTCCTCCCACCAGTCTCTCCTACAGAGGCTCCTGCAGCCCCAATGCCCGGGCCGCTGACCTTTGCACGTCTTCCCGTCTGGCTGTAGCGTGAATCCCACGGGGCAGCTGCAGCGCACGCCGGTGGCTGTGTCCTTGCACGTCCGGTCGCAGCCTCCGTTGTTGACCGCACAGGTCTCTGGGAAGGGAAGACAAGCGCTGAGCACTGCCCGTCCCCTGGGCCAGGAGGCCTGGGCCCAGCCCCACCGCTCACACTTGCCACCCAAGGGCTCCCCCATCTGTAAAATGGGGCTGCTGGGGGTGGGGTAGAAAATGGACGATAGATGGGAAAAATGCAGATGGACGGGTCACTGCAGCCGGGGTCAGGGCCAGCTCCTTACATTCCTGCCCTGCCCGGACAGAGGCTCCAGGCCTGGCCGAGCAGAGCGTGGGCCGCCATCATCTGCCCTCGGCTTGGGATGGCTGGGGCCCTGGCTGCCCGAGCTGGGGAGGATGGTGCGGCCCTGGCTGCCCGAGACCATCCATCACCTCCACGGGCGCTCAGCCAACATCTGTTCCCACTGAGCGGTGAGCCACAGCATCTGGTTTGCGTCCATTTGAAGCCTGTCTAGTCCCCCCCTCCTTCGTAAATTGAAAGGGGCTGGGAGGGGTTGGGGCCTAGTGCACTGGAGCGGGGGAGGCAGCAGAGCCAGGTCAGGGGCTCTTCCTGCACATCTGGCAGACTTTGATCTGGTGGAGCCTGATGGGGAGGGGAGGGGGGTGGCGGGCGTCAAGTGATCACCTGTGGCCCCTGGTGCAGACTGTGTATCCCTCCCCCCCCTCCAACCAGGCTGCAGTTGGTGCCTGCCCTGGGGCCCTTCCCCACGGCCCCGCTGGGTGCCTGCCAGGGCCTGTTTTTTGGGGGGGCCAGCCTTTCTGCTGCTGGACCTCTTGGGGGAGGCATGTGGAGATGGAATAGAGTGGGGGTACATGAGCGTCTACCCCACTGCCAGACACCCCTCTTTCCCACTAGACCAAACCCCGTTCTCTTGAACTTCAACTTGGAAGGGGGTGTTTCTGAGGGGGTGGAAGTGGGGCTACCTGCTGCAGAGCCCGTCTGCCGCCTCACAGCCAAGAGCCAGCACTGTTGCTGTACGTGACTTTGGGTGATGCCCCCCCCCACCCATGCTCCATGCCATGGCCTCTGTGGAAGCAGGCAGACAGGCCCATCTTCTGAGACCCACTGCGGGTGGGGGTGGGGCAGGGGATCCAGCACACCAGCCTTTCAGCGAGTGGTCGAGGGATTATCCACTGCCCCCTCGAGTCCCCTTGGCCTGGCTCAGAGGTCCACCTGGGCAGGGACAGAGGACCTAGTGAGCCAGGCAAGCATGGGTGGAACTGTGCCTCTTCACTCATCTCCCCTACATTCAAGAGTCTGCTCCTTGGGGTGCCTGGCCCCCATCCCCTGCCTCTAGACTAGGGCCTGCAGAGAGCTGGCCTGCTGCCCCTGCTCAAGGGTGCTCTCATGTTGCACCTGGGTGGAGGGAGAGGGGGGCACCTGGGCCAGGGAGAGGGGCAGGGCCTGAGTACTTGCTCTTCGTCATGGCCGTTTGTGTGGGCAGCAGGGCGTCCGTGGGTTTAGACGCTCAGCCATAGATATTTCCTATTTCCCGTAGGCACCCCTGCACCTGAGGCCTTGTCTCTCAGAGTCTCTGCACGTCCCAGCTCCCTGTTCCCCAATGCGTGTCCTTCAAAGCCCACCCAGAGGAACCCCCGAGGGCCCTGTGTCAGCACAGGCAGTGGTCAGGGCAGCCCTGCTGGGCAGGGGTGGGTCTGGGGGCGGGTTCTCCTGGAGCCGGCCACCCTCCTCGCTGACCCTGCTTGTGGCCAGTGCAATGAGGCCCAGGCCCTCCTCCCTTGTGCTGGAGCAGCAGCTGTTCAGTAAACGCTCCTGCTGGGCCCTCTCCTGGGCATGTCCCAGGTGCTGTCGGATCCTGGCATGCCCTGGAGTGCTGTCCAATGGGGCGCCCTCTCTGGAAGTCGGCAGAGAATGGGTTGGTTTTCCAGGAATGGGGAGTTAAGGCTTGCCCCTCAGTAGTGGGGGCGGGCTGACCCCGAGGCATCTCCGTGGGGAGGAGTTGAGGGCTGGGTTCCTGAGAAAGGATCTCAGGAGCCCCTCCACTTCTGAAGGGGCTGGGTGGTCCTTGGAACTCATTCATCAGAGTGGAAGGGGCTTTGGGGGTCCCCAGCCCCACCTATCCCCAGGGCAGACCGAAGTTGAAAAGTGGGGTCTAAATGGCTCTCTGCATATCCCCCCAGTGTAAGGAGCCTGAGCTTCAGTTTGAACACAGGACCCTGGGGCTCCTGGAAGGGCCCGAGATGCCCACAGGCCTTTCCCATACCTCACTTGGCACTTCCCCCTCCCCTCCCCTGCTGTCCCCAGCCGTCAGCAGCCCTGGGAGCCCCCACTCTTGGTGCTCCCCTCTTCTGACAGGCCTGTCAGTGCCTGACTTACAGGTTACAGAGCGGGACAGCGCAACCAGCCATGCCCACCAGGCTCCCTTGGGTGAGGGCACTCGGCAGCTTCCAGCCAGCCCAACTCTGGCCCATGCCACTTTTAGGGGTCTGCTGGCCAGAGCCCAGGGGCCTGCTGGAGCCTTGGGCTCAGCCCTCACTTTCTTCTTCCTCGTCTGGCTCCTCCCAGAGCTCCCCATCTCGGCAAGCGCCACCCCTCTGCTAAGGTCGAATCCCAGGAGTTCCCGCTGCTCCTTTGCCCCAGCAGCGCCCGGGCCCTGGCCCTGGCCCCAAGGTCCATCTTCTGATGCCACTCTGCTCTGCTACGGGTCCCTCCTAGTCCAGGGCACCTCCGCTACGGGACCCTGCACCTCTGTGGGTGCCTCCTCTGGACCAGACCATTGATCTGGGTGGCCAGGGCACTTGTTCCCAACTGGAAATTAGGCTGAAGCACAGCCTACAATGGCACCCGCCACCCAGGGTCACACAACCAGCCAGCAGCCCTGTTCACCAAGCTCTTCCTTGGTCCTGGGGTCCGGAGTAGGGTGAGTTTGCCCTCAGCACCCCTCCTGCCCACCGGCCCTCCCTTGTCCTATGTGGACCCTCATCGGTGACTCACGGCTGCTAAGAGTCAGTGCTGACTACAGCGCCCCCCGTGGGGTTCCCAGACTGTTGTCAGGGGTTGGAAGTGCAGTCTTTCTCCTGCGACCATGGGTGCTGTGGCCCGTAACTCCCACGCCTCTGGGCTCCTTCCTCTGTGACAAGAACAGCTCTCGCCACGGAAGATTGGCTGTGACTGGGCACGGGGGAGGGGCCTGGGCTGATTCTTGCTGGTGGCCCGGGGAATAGCTCAGGCCTGGGGCAGCAGTGCCAGCCCCTACACACAGCCTCCAGGGGGGCTCTTGTGGGGACAACACGGGGAGGGGACAGAGGCAGGGGGATGCTGACACCCAAGGTGCCAGCCCGGGAGGGGTGTGGCACCAAGGGAGCCCAGACTGCAGGTCCTGAAGGCCTCTGGGAGGGAGGCCCCCTTTCCTAGGCATGACCATCAGCATGACCAGATGCAGGCCGGGCAGCCCCGGTGCCCAGTAGCCTTAGGTCCAGAGTTCTGTGCCTGACTTTGCCAGGGCCAGATAGACATGGGGAGGGGAGGGGAGGTGAGAGAAGGAGCCAGAGACGGGCCCCTCTGGGCTCCAGACCCAGGACAGGACCTGCCATGCTAACTCTCAGGGAAGCCTCTTTTGAGGAGCCGCACCGCACCCTGGAGCTCACGCCAGGGGAGCAATGCTCTAAGGCCAAGCAGGAGCGCTGACCAGCCACCAGCAGGTCCTGCCTCCAAGTCTCACCAGGGAGCCGCACCCAACAGAGTCCCAGTGGGGGTTGGGCCTCCCTTGGTTTCCAGCCCCCGCTGGAGAGTGTGAGGGCACAGTGGACAGGCTGAGAGGGGACCCTGGGCAGGGTGACTGAGCCAGAGCCACCTTGGTCGCAGGGCCAGGCCTGTTTGGTTTTTTAAAAAACATCCAGGCAAAAGTCTGCACTGCGAAGTCGGGGGCCGGAGGACGCCTCCGGTGTGGCCACCTTGGACAGTCAGTACCACGACTCCACACCCAGGGAGTGCCGGCAGGGCCGGCCTGACTAGCAAAACCAGCCCCTTCCTGCCCGAGCAGCATTCCCACAGACCCCCCCATGAGCCTTCCTGAGAACCTCTGAGGGGGACTTTCCTATCAGAGGTCTTCACTCCACCACGGTGGCTGCAGCAACCGCCTCAAATACGACAGGGTCCCTGACGGTGGCCCAGGGCAGCTGTGTAGACCTGACCACACCCAACAGAGGAGCCACCCGAGCCCACCTCCTGGCCCGTGGCTGCTGCCAGGTAGACACCAGGTGCCTGTGGAGTGAGCTGAGCACCGGGAACAGAAGTGGAAGAGGGGCCCCCGAGGCACAGAGCCAGCAAAGGGCAGGCCGAGGGGGCCGTGCTACCCTGAATGCCTGCCTGTTCCTCCTCAGACACAGTGAAACGAAGTCCCAGCCAGCCCCACCCATCGCGCAGAGTCCCCCGGCCAGACGTGTCCTCCAGGCCCTGCCTGGCTCTCACGCCCCCCCCCAGACCCCCCCGCCCACCCGTCCCCCCCCGCCCCCCCCTCGCCCCCCCCCCAGTGAAGGCAGGAGAAGCTGTTGGTCACTCGAGTACCTCACGCCACCAGGGAGAGCCTGGCCTAGTACATGGTGCCTGGCAGGCCTGGGCACACGTTTGTGGCGTGGCTGAGGGGAGCTGGGCAATGTCAAGTGGATGGTAGTACCCCCACCTCCCCCTGGACTACTCACGGGCTCCCAGCATGCAGTAGGTGAAGATGCGGGGGCAGGGATGAGTGGCAGAGGGCATAAGGTTAAGTCTGGATGGGTTCTGGGGGCCCACTCGGGCCAACACCTGAGGGGCCAAGGGGTTGAGAAGAGGGTCAAGGCAGGGCTGGACATGCCCAGGGTCGTGCCTGCCCCAGAAAGGTGGCCGTGGCTGCAGGATGGGGGCTGGGAGATGGGGGAACTGGACCCGCATCCAGAACGAGGTCTCAGGGGATTCCACATGAGGTTCACGTTCAGGAGACATGGAGGCTCTGGGCCTGACCGCAGTGCCGAGTCTCCTAGCCCCCATGAGGGGACAGGACTGTGGAGGCAGCAAGCTGGGGC